TCGGGGCCGACTCGACAGCACATAACAACAACAACAACAACCAGAAGGCTGGTGTTCAACCCCACCAGCCAATCCTCAGAAGGAAGATTGGATAGTCTACTTTCATAGCAATAATGCCTTGGAACCCCAAGGAGGGGTTGCTATGAGTCGGGATCGACTTGACGGCACTTAGGTTTTTATTTTTAATTCTCCAGGGTAGCATATACCCCATCACTCCACATGTCCTTCCAGCCCCAAAGACATGGCATCTGCAGTCCCTGCATGCTCAGTATGACTCGGGCCAAATCACTCTTCTTTCAGCATGAAACTTGAATATCTGAACTCTCCATCTTACTTTAAAACTTACAACCTTTCATTGAGATATATTTTATTCAGATATTGCCTATTAATGTACGATGGTTCGGCCCTCTAAGTGGCAAGGATTTTTCTAAAACGATACTTGAAAATTCCCTGATGTGCAACTTCTGCTAATAAGAGCAACAGCCCTACAGCCCAGACTGGAGTCTTTCTGATCTTAAAATTAAGATTAAATTAACACCAATTATGAGCTTTCACTTGTGAAAGAGGCCTTTAAAATGGGTTCCAGTGTTGTGGTTTCTTTTTACCCAGAAGATAACTCTGGATGAACTAATTGGTTGGATACCACCCCCCCCACTCCCTGGGCAATTTCATTTCTTGATAGTTTCAAGAACGTTTTAGCAAAGGAAGAAAATGTGAAAAATAAAATGAACCTTACTGTCCTTTTTTTGCGGCTCATAAAAAAGTGAGGTGGTTGGTTGAACTGAGGTTAAGTACTGGAGTGATTTCTATAGTTCTTCTCCATTCTAGGAACAGACGAGTGTTTATAAGTATACCTCTCAGGTCACACAGCTCTTGTAACCCGAAAACTTGACAATAAAGCTTGAATCACACTTAAACAGTAAGGGAGACTGGTATCTCTAGAGTGAGTCTGGGATAAGTGAGAATATGTAGTCATTTTGTACTTTATGGTTTACATACCTGGTCAAGTGTGCTTATGGTCGATGGTAATACATTCAATCTTGAGGTTAACCCAGGTGGCACTTGCTCAGTTCTGGACATTTAACACTATGGAGCCAGTTTGAAAAAGGATGCTCTGACGGTGTAGACACAGAGTATCAGAAAAATGCACTAAATAATGTAGCTGCTGCCACATAACTGTATGGAGTAAGAGCATATCCAGACACTGGAAAGAGTTTAATTAGCAAGTGAAGCATCAGGGGTTAGAGTGTACAATGAAAATAATCTCCTAAGTTTCAAATATTGTGACATTAAGCACCCAAAGCTTTGCCCAGGAAGTGTCTGCAAACTCAGGTACCGTGTATCATCCGTGTATTGGGTCTTCCTGCAGTGACCCTCCCTCTGTATCCAGCTAAGGTGGGTAAATGAGCATCTTTCACACTCCTAACTCTTCTCCAAATGTGATTTTACACCTTCATGTAAATGTAATTGGTGGGTTCTCATGCATAGCTACCCGCCATAAATACTTTGCATTGCTTTTTTCAAGCAATAAATACATTATTTGGGTTCCCTCAGAGTAGGATTACAAAGTGCTAGAACCAGTTTGGCTTTATGAGATAAGCCAGTTTCTAACAAGCACTTGTGTTAATGTATTTTTAATGTTGAGAATATACTGAGATGAAATCTTTCCAGAAGCTTGCTTAGAAATATCTCTTCATTGCACAATCAACATGAACAGAACTGTGTCTATGCCAGCTGTCCTCGATTTCCCTGACCTTCATGGAACATAACAGATACTTACTCCAGTGGAACAAAGCAGTTTGATTCTTTTCCTGCTTATTTTCCAAAGAGGACAGTGTTGACCAAAACATGTGCAGTCTTTGGTGGCACTTGTTAAATAATGACATAGCCTGATGAGCATAGTGTGTGCAGTACACAGAGCAGCCTGATAACACCTAGAATGCAGACACATGCGCACACGCCTATCTTTCCCATTCCCGACTATGAACGTCCCTTCCTGTCAGCTTCATCTTCCACTACAGGGAACACTGACGAATACACCACGGATAATCTTCCAATACAGTGAAACAGTTTTTAGTTTTCTTTGCTAGGCTTGGAGTCTTAGGAAGTAAACTGAGTCAAGACAGTTAACAGCTTCAACAAAGTGTAGTTACTCTTTTAGAACCCTAGGTCCAGTACAGAGGCATATGAGGCCAAAGATGTACTTAACGTCTCCTTCAAACAATGTTCTTACCAGGTTGGGAATAGCCCTTCTAGACTAGGTTCTTTCACCCCACAGCAATATTGTCATCTGGGGGACATGGGATCTGTAGCAATTTACTGTTGTACTTCTAGATATCCTTTCAAAGTACAAAAATAAATACACAGATATTTGATTGTTAGATATTTATCTTTGTGGTAAAATAGTCAAGTTTCCATGTAAGAGTGAGGAGTAAAGTGCTGAATAAATAAATAACATGACTGTTCTCTGATAAAATTGTTGGTCATTCTGAAAAAGAGCTCATGAAAGTCTTAATTACCTTTCCTATTTGGGGATAATAAAGCAAATGGAATATTAAGAATAGAGTGTTGCATTTAACATGGATATAGAAGGTTTTTCTGTAGCTAGCATGTAACTAACAACTGTTTTGCTGATAATTGGTTTGGCATAATATGGATTATTTTCTTCCACTAAGGAGAAACAAAAGCTCTAAATGTTAGAAGATCATGGAAGTTTTGAAGACATCAACAAAGGATCTCTTTGACTTGATTATTTATGATTGTTGATTTAGAAATTAACTTATTAAATCTTTGAGACACAATATACCAAAGCTATGAGAATTCTGTCTGATACTTTTGCAGTGTAATTTGCTACATATGAAAAATTCATTCCTCCTAATAAAAGTTTGCAGAAGCCTTCTTGTGTGTGTCTTGCTCCCAGTCTGTAGCTTCATTTTTTGGTCACTTTGAAGAATCGAGGTCTAATGTAATCCTTGTACATCGAATAGAGAACACCTAGAAACAAAGATGTATGCCAGTAAACAGTGTATCCATGGGAAAAATTTTGAAATTAGCCTACAGTTTAAAAACAAACAAACAAAAACCTTCCCCTTATTAATTTTTGATGGGTATAATATAAGTGGCCCCAGGAAAACTAAACTAAACTAAGAGCCCTTTAAAATCTGTACGAATCTGAATTCATCATGTTGCTGTGCTACCCTGAAGGTTGGATTTTGAGATATTGATGAAAAGACTAGGAAATTGGGCAGATTTTTACCAGATATTAAGATAAAAATATTCTTGGGGGACATCTCAGTCAATTAGCATAACATAGTTCATGAAGATTATGTTCTACATCCCACTTTGGTGAGTAGCAGCTGGGGTATTAAAAGCTTGCAAGCAACCATCAAAGACACAACTATTTGTCTCTGCCCGTCTGAGTAAAGGACTAGTGGTCCACGTGAACCACAGCTTCCTCTAGGCTGAGACCAGAAGAACCAGATGGTGCCCAGCTACCACTACTGACTTCTCTGACCAGGGACACAATAGAAGGTCCCAGTTAGAATGGGAGAAAAATATAGAACAAAACTCAAGTTCATAAAAAAGGACTAAACTTATTGAACTGATAGAGATTGGAGGAACCCCAGAGACTGTTTCCCTAAGACACCCTTTTCACTAGGAGTTGAAGCCTCTAGCTTTTAGCCAAATAATAGATTGGTCTATCAAATAATAATAATACCAATGAGGATTGTGCTTCTTAGATCAATCAACCGGGGGGAAGCAAAACAAAAACCTAAACTCATTGTCATTGAGTCAATCCAACTCGTAGTGCCCCCTTTGAGTTTCTGAGGCAGTAAATCTTTACAGAAGCAGTCTTTCTTCCATGGAGTGGCTGGTGGGTTTGAACTAGCTAACATTTTGGTTAGCAGTCAAATGCCTTAAGCACTTGTGGTTACCTAGTGCCGCTCTGACAGGAATATACCACAAATGGGATGGCTTTAACGAACAGGAGTTTTTTCTTACAATTTGGAGGCTTTAAGTCCGAGTTCAAGTGCCAGGCTCTAAGGTCTGGGTGAAAGCCCCTCAACCTTGGGCTCTGCCTCCTGTTCCTGGCCCACTGGAGCTAGAGACTTTTCTTCACTTAGACAGTTACTGGCTGCTGAGGCTGACAAGTCCAAGCTTGACAAGTAAAAAGGCACAGTCCTGATGTTACCAAACCCCATAGCAGGCCATTCATTCAAGTCCATTGAAAGTCCCAAGGTCGGTAGAGCATGGCAGGCTGCTAAACAGTGATATGCCTACATGCAGGGTTCAAGCATGCCATAAGCTAGAGACCGTTCCCCAAGGCTTCTCCTTATATACAAGCAGCAGACCACATCCCTAAGGCAGCTACTGACCTGCTCACAGTAGATTCCACCATGGAGTTGATCACCAGTGTTATCTTGGAGAATACTGCACCCAGCTGCCCAGCCACTCAACCAGGCCCAGCCAAGTTGACACACAAACTTGACTACCACAGCACTGCACCACCAAAGCTCCTTAGATCAATCAACTAGATGAGACCAAATGGGTAACATTTGCCCAAAAGCAAAGATAAAAAGGCAGGGAGGGGCAGGGAAACTAGGATGGAAACGGAAGGCAGGGTGGAAATGGGGAGCGTGCTGACACATTGCAGGGAGAGCAAGCAATGTCGTGGAACAATTTGTGTATAAATTGTTGAATGGGAAACTAATGTGCTGTGTAACATTCACCTAAAACAGAAAAAGATGTTAAAAAAGAAAAACCCAGGCAACTCAAATAAGCATTTATTCAGTGTCTACTTGTGCTCAGCATCCTCAGGAAAACAAAGATCTAGTCTCTGCTTCTAGGAGTTCTGGTGGAGTAGTGCCTAAGGCATTTGACTGCTAACCAGAAGGCTGGCAGTTCAAACCCACCAGCCACTCCTTGGA